ACGAAGCAAGGCGGTGTGTGCAGTTTTTGAATGCGTGATATATATTTTTTTTACAAGGTAATGTCAAGTAATTATGGTCCTCACAGTAGATTCGTTACATGGATTGAATATCTTTGTTTGGCCCACATCAGCATACGGATATGAAATAAAGGTAAAAAACGAGCAATAAAAAAAATGAATTTTTAAGCTATAAACACCAGTAAAATCAACCCGACAACAATGAAAAATAGCTTAGTTTGAACATCCACTTTCAGTCGCAGTTTATATAGGCTATAGCCCTAGAAATTATATTAAGGCTGATAAGTTCATGCACTTTACTGTTTGATTTTGAACCTCAAAAAGTTGACACAAAAAAAAACATAGATACAAGCTTGTTATTTGACTGATTACTTATATTTTATTATTTGAATGGCGTGTAAACAACTAGCTTGCTCCGCATTCGAAAGCTTTTCGCAAACGATTGTGTATAAATAGGATTTGTTAAAACACTAGATTTTAAGTAAACACGTTAAACACAAATAGCTTACATAAGTAAAAATGGGGGAATCTATATTGTACTTAGTCTATTACTTGTCAGTCTATGTAGCCTGCCTTGGGAGTTTTATTTTATTTGTTTAGATGGTCGGTAAATAATTTCCAGATTTCACATTAAACATCTTGTGTTATCATTTGATTTGGAATGGCACTTCTTTATGTGCAGTGGCAATATAAGTTGAAAGACATGGGCTTTATTTTCTATATATTGTACAACTTAAAATGAATAATAATCTTCATATAAGCCTTCATATAAGATTTTATTAAATGTACAGAAAAACACGAGGGATTGGCTTGTCCTTACTAAAGCAAATTAATTTCAAGTAATGAATGCTGCAATAATTGTAATGAAATAACCCCATCGTTCTAACCTGTTTAAATAAGTAATGTCAATTGGTTTGTGGCATTTAATATTTAATGTACAGGTGTTTTGAAATGGTTCTCTCTGCTATATGCGAGAGTGTTAATTAAATCCATTGAATATAATGCGCAGCAGTTCTATTAGCAGCAGAATAATTAAAAAATAAAAGCCGCCTGCGGGCTCCTGAGGTGGAAAAACCTCCGTATTCCATGGAGAATGGCAAAATATTTATTAATTCAACGAATTTTTACGTTACAGAATGGCAGGAACTATTTTGCAGTCCATTCTATATTATAAGAGTGGGAAAAAAAAAAGATTTAAGGTAGGCTAATCCATGTTTAGATTATATTATTTGTAATAACGTTACAAATTACGTTTAGAAATTTGTAGAGCTCCAAAACATAATAATAAAACGTAAAATACTGTATCAATAGACTTACAGCTCTTCCTGTCAATTTTTCCATATCTGCCTATTCTACCTACCTCGCGGCCTACGTGTGATCACGGCTTCATATTTAAGAACAAGAAGGTTAAATGATTTAGTTGTGCAATTGTCGAGCAAATTTATGCAGAAAATCGGCAATTCAACGCGAAAAGATTTGTGGCAGTACTTCTGCGACATGTCCTGATGACTAATCGTTCAAATATGCAAGCGGCACAACACCAGTCCCACACACTTATAAATAACAGTCTCTTAACATGGTCTGAACCACTGACAATACTGAACATTCCAAAACAATTTATTCTGACCAATAAAAGATGATAACCCTCTGATATGAACTCGTTCTATTTATAGACATCTCGGAGGCAAAATATGAAAACATTTTAGAACGAGGAGGCCTGCTGGAGAACCAAAGAGCCAAATATTGTGTTGCTGTCATGAATCCCAGCGTCAACCTTGTAAATGTAGACTGTTTATTATTATTATTATTTCGTTGTTTTTAGGTCTTGTTAATAAGCCTTCAGAAGTAACTAATTAACCATAACAAAATTAAACGGACCTATTGCTTAAGTCTTGTCCCAACAATAGCCTACCTGCACATCGTTGTTTTAACAGCGTATTTTATGTTAGAACTCATTGCCTTATATTTTAAGACTGATTTTTCGAAAATCCTCTCCTCTTGTATAGTTTTAGTCATAACTGACTAAAATCAGAATCTTTTACAGTCGTGCAATCCTACACATTTTATGCTATTTGCACTGTTAGACCCCTCAGATCTTCAAACAATCTTAAAATGATTGTATGCAATTGTAAACAAATTGCTTTAATGCTCTGCACGTTTAATGATCATTACGTTTAGCTTAAAAACAAATATAGCCTATGGTTATTATATATCAAAATAATTTTATAGTAATGATCACAGTTCACAGGCCGGCAGCTACTTTTGTTAAGCTAAAATTTACAACGGATTCTTTATTGCCTTCAAAACGTTTAATAGGCCTACTTTGAACGTGTTCAATACTGCTTTGCGTTAAATAGCCTACGTGAAATGTTCGGAGAGAATGTAGTGTTTTGAAACATCCACGATTTTGTTTTGACTGCTTGACTTGACCTTTTAACCTCGTTGGGAGAGTTTCCTGAATCTGTTCTTTGATCCCTAGACAGACTCCTGCACACTGCATCGCAAAGACACTTCTATGCACAGCCAAAAGCCGAACGCTTTTCTGCACTGATATTTGTCATGGCACGAAATCACATGTGTGACGGCAACATGAGAAAACTATTTGTATTTGTGATTAAACACATGAGATACGTTGGGGGCCAATTCTGATAGCCTACAATAAGCGAATCATGCAAATACCGATAACGCATCGAATCGTGGGCCTTTACATTAAAAAAATAAAATTAATAATAACTGTATGTGCCTAAAGATGCCGTTCCATAGGGTGGAAAATTGATTAGATATTGCCTCGTCCTACGTCCAATAAAGTCTGGCAAATTCGCAGAGCACAATTAGCCTACTTTGACATACCATTGACCTGAGCAGAATTTTGCTTTAAGTCAATACCTGGCATCATACAGAATGAAGTCCAATCAAAATAATAATAATAATAGTAAAGGTTATTCTGTGTGTGTGTGTGTGTGTGCGTGGGAGAGAATTAGTACTGCCAGCCAGGCTCAAATACATCGCATATTACCTAAACTTAAAATGCCCTTAAATGATCAATTAAACTTTTGTTTTCAATATTTTAATGGAAAAATTTAGATATGTGAGGACCTTATGTTATTTCTGAAAAGACAAATTCCAAACATTGTAAACCTTAAAACAGGCTCACTTCCGAATAATTATCTCAATATTACAATTTCTCCCATCATAAAAAAAAAATTGCAGTACATTATATATACGTAAAACATCTTATGATTGCAGTGTAACCACAATCCACTGCCTCAGTTAGAAAATTATAGTGTAGAAAAGCATCGTTTTGTTATACATTTATTTAAAAAAATAAAAATAAAAAAATCAATCAGGGGTTTGGGAGAACGACAAGTCATCGTAGCGTTTAAATAACTACAGATCGTGTAATTATGTTGAGCTTTTGTAGACTACAAAAAAAAAGCAATAACACATTCTACCTTTTTTTTTATTTCAGACAACATAATCTGAACATATTAAAATCTTTGGCTTGAAGCGTTGGTTCAGTCACGCATTTGAAGAACTGTGAGATAAGGGATTTAAGAGACAGGGCTATCACAAAAACTCTAACAAGCCTGACACTTAGGCCTACTGGAACGGTGAGCAACCACATTGGGAAAGGAGAAGAAACGTTAAAAATATTCAGCAAGTAAGGAGCAATATAGACATCCCCTTACCTGGAATTAAATATACACATCTTACAGTTTTGGCTATATATATATAAATTTTCATAGTGTTCATATTTAGATGCATGTCCATATACTGTATGATAAACAGAAATTTGTTAAATATCGTATCTTCGTTTCGCAGAATTCGAAGACATTTCCTTTTCATATGATTCATAAAAAATATGAAAAATCACTTTTGTCGGGGTCAGCGTCCATGGCTTTGTTAGGAGAGAAGCCGGGCCATTTTATTCGCTATCGTCTTTATCTTCTTGAATTGTTGTTGTGGAATGGTTATAGAGTCCTTGAGCCATGAGCTGAAGAGCGAGGCCGTTCTTATAGCCAGAGGCCTTTTTGATTTTGGCCCTCTTATTTTGGAACCAGATTTTTATTTGCGACTCATTGAGGTTGAGTTCCAGGGCCAGCGACTGTCTCCGCTGCTCCGTAATGTACCGATTCGCCTGAAACTCGGCTTTAAGTCTCTGCAGCTGTTCGGCCGTGAAAGCGGTTCTCGGTCGCTTGTCATCCTTCTCGCTTTTCTTCTTTTTCAATTTTCGTGTCCTTGGGCCTAGTGTAGAAACAACAATAAAACGAAGACATAAATATCATAAAGCAGCATGAACGCTACATACCCACACCTGACAGAGAATGCCTTGGCACGTAAGTGAAACGTTTGATGCGCTTTTAACTTAAGGGCCCACCTGACACTTCCGTAACGGACAACAAGCTATTTTAGCTGCACTCTTTAGAAACGTCGATGTGGAATTCATACTGCAGTTCATTATACAGCGCTGTCTCTTTCGTTGCTGAATAAACAATAGGTGTTTGCAATGAAACCTTATAAAGAGTGTTTGTAATCTATCTAAAACGAATGACCTCAGCTGACAGGCTACACGTGTAATTGCCAAGAAGGCCATGAAACAAAATGCTGCTAAAAGAAACAAAATGCTGCTAAAATAACATTCAGTTAGCCTAAAACGCAAATAGCCGCTATATTTAAAATGCATTGTTAAATGAATACGATTTTGAATCATAAGCAATTCATACGCAGACCTGCAATGTAAGCATGCATGTAGGCCTCAGTCCTCGATTGTCGCTTTGACCTGGAGCCCAGCGAACGCGGGAAAGCCGAACAAGTCTTTATGTGAGTTTGCTTATTATTACTATAAAGCAAATATTTTAGTGCACAAAATGAAGAAAGAACCACGTCATTACATTATCTCCAAAAATGGCTTCTGTACATTACATTTGGATTAGTGGACTAGTGTTTGTACTGTAGGCCTATATTAGACAAAATGATAACATGTCTACATATCAGTAGTATATTTTGCCCCGTTTTCCAAAACAAAGGCAAAGTTCGAAATCACTATGTTATTGTCAGTCACACAGAAAAGGAAAATCGATAGGTTAATTAGTTTTTATTGTCCTGTGGCCTCTCTTCTTAAAACAGGCAAGCGATTAGGTAGCCTATGTTATAAACGGTTATTTCGATGTAAATTTCAAATGAATAAAACATTTTAAAATGCAAGTCATTTCGCAAAATTGCTAAACTTTGCTAAACAAATTGCTAAAGTGCACATAAAAAACTATACTCTATAGCGTATTTACCTCTGCAGCAGAGTTGTTTGCTAAAGATAACTGTATTTACAGAAAATGTAAAAATTATATTTTTACATATCGGCTAATATTACGTGTGTAGGCCTTCGTTTTGCTATGTTGCAACAACTGTTCTGTTATTGTTCTACAATTTTTTACCTTTAATATGTCCATGAATAATGCGGCTCCTATATGCAAACCCCTTCATGCAAAGTAAGCGCAATTAAAAATAATTAAATGAATAAAAAGAAAGCTACAAAAAAAAGCTAAAGACCTGCTAACAGCATATTATGCAAAGCAAATATCACCATGCATATGTGGTATTACATGCACGTCAAGAAAACAATTTTCTGCATTACCGATCAACAACTGAGCAGAACCCTAAGTCTTTCCATCAAGAAACTGCACTCGGATGATCGAAATTCTGCTTGCCGTCTGTGAAAATCCAGTGTCTGATAGCTCAATCAGTAAGACAATCAGTGAAGTCAATCAAAGCATCTTTTCCAACAGCCCAGCTGAATTTGTGTCAGGTATCCATTGTAAAATGTTTTGTCAGTTAACTTAAAAAATGTACTTCATGTGTAACAATAAAGGAACTTGCGGAATTCAAGTCTAACAAATTATTTAAAATCATTGAAATCAAAACGAGTACACTCGGTTTAAGGGTCAGAGCAGGTAGAAACAGCCCCTGAAGGGAACTGCACACATTTTACAGTGTGATTAACGTAACATTGAATACAATCTATCCTTTCGGCTGACCCTTAACTGGTTTGGCACAAAAATGTTATCAGTTGCTTACGCAAATAGCCATGGAACAACCCAAAATCATAATTTCAGTACATATACAGTCAGCAGCATTACGCTATCGTGGATTTAATACAAAACAAGGTTGATTAAATCGCGGCACTTTTCCTCTTCTTCTCTATTCTTCATTAATATAAAGCTATTTGTACTTACATTACGAAAACAAATACTTTCAGATAAGCACATACAACCCATGTGGTCATAGACTAAGATAAATGAAATAGCCCACTGCTGTAAATAGATATTCATAATAACACCAATAGCGAGCATAACATGCTGAGAAACTGTGGTTAGACGGAATAAATTTAAACAGATTATTATCTAAATATTAACCTATAAATATTACCTATATTTTTTACATTTACTACAGTAAAGTAGCCTAGTATTCATTTTTGGTTATTCATGGTAGCTGGTTTAAAGGCTAATTTTAAGTCTAGAAATTTAGGTTTAGAATTCTGACGCCATAGTGAACGTACTTTCTCTATAGAAAGGGCTTAAGTGAACAAAATATGTTTCTAGTTTGGTTTGCGGCCTAAGTGACAATTGTTCGCTCATGCACCAAAACAAACCAGGGGTGCGTTTCCCAAAAGCAACTATGGTCGCAAGTTCCGTCGTTACCAATAGATTTCAATGGAACTAACTACCGTAGTTAGCTAACGATGCTTTTGGGAAACGCACCCCAGGACTGTTGAATATAAGTGATAGCTTCAGACGCTGCATAAAACGAGGGAATTGACTAAAACTTAATTTCCCCCCATCATAGTAAGTCACAATCCACGATAAGCCCTCAAAACAAAAAAACAAAAAAAAGTTTTACGCGCGCAGCGTCAATCGCTGTTTGTGAATCATACAGCGCAATTAAGAAACTAGCGCCTTACCAGATGAAGGTCTGTCCGAGTACCTGGTGCAGTAAACCCACGCAGGCCATAGTATAGGCTGCGACTCTTTTCCTTGCGAAGTTCCCCCGTTAGAGTTCACCACCTTTATCGACGTCGTATTCTCCCCGTACCTTGCTGTGGTAGTTCCATTTCCCTCGACAAGCTTTGCAGAGGTCTGCTTTGAGGATGGCGAAGAAGACGAGGATGAAGAAGTGCTGTCACTACTGCAGTTTGAATCCTGGCAAAGGCTGCTATTATGCGACGGCCTTATCACCATAGGGTTAACATTCTCCCTACCCGAGGTTTGCGCCCGGTCCCTACTCCCAAGATCTTTCTTGCAGCCAAAATCTGGCCGTAGAATATTGTCGATGAAAAAGTTCGTGGTTCTGTGGGCTTGCTGCGCAGCCTGGTGAGGTAAAATCGGAGGGGATGGTATATTGGGTGAGAGCGAGACGCTCTCAGATTCAGTCGAATCACGACTGTTTTGATCATTTTGCTCCTCCATGACAGCTGGATCGCACACCAAAATTCCACTTGTTGCAAAGAGCTGTATCCGGATAACAACAAACAAGAATACAGTCTATAGTTAAAATAAAGGTATACGAAATACCTTAAGAGAAGCGACTGTCATAGCATCGGAATGCTTTCCGCGATCAAGGCGTTTCAATTGTCAAAACACACCCGTTATTCATGTCAGACAATACATCGCGCGATGCTCCGCTGTCCCGGACTCGCTGCCCCGTGTGACAGCTCGCGCTTAACAAACTCTTTCTAAAATCACAGTGCCCCTCACATACTTTTCTCCTTAACCGGAAGCACGTGAGTGAGACACACGTGCAATGGACCAATGGGGTACCAACATCCTTGGTGTCACAAGCAGACAATGTCCAATCGAATTTTAAAATCTTATGCAAATAAAGAATGGATGGATTTCCAAGACCAAATAAACTGGCGAACATTAAATCCACTCTAATAAGGATTGGATGTTTCTGGATCTGCATTGGCTTTTGACCGAAAAAGATCTGATACTGCAGCTAGATAATTCATTATTTCAGAGGCTCGTTGTATTTTTTTTGCCAAAACTAGACACTAATAACATTGCGAATAGCTCTTTTCTGAGATCGTTAGTAGGCGATAGGCGACGGTAGGTAGCCTAGTGAAAGAAAACAGGAGTGAGCCTTCATCATAACTATGAAATCTGAGCAAGATGATTATTCTGTGGGACAAGGTTAGCAAGCAATTAAGGTTAAGAAACTGAATCTATACCACAATGAGATACATTTTAAATAATAATAATAATAATAATAATAGATAATAATGCTTGCAATCATTTTAGTAAATGAAGCAATGTTATTCAATATGTCCAAAATATTGTATAATATCATGTAAGGTATATAATTTACCTAATAATTGCAATAACAAAATAACAGACTAGTCCGTATTTTAGTTAGCCTATTCTCAGCATTCGAAACGTTTTAACCGCAGAGTACACTGTCAAAAGTGATATTTCTACCTGACATAACCCTTAATTAAGCACACCTTTGCTGGAGTAACTTATAGTCAGGTTAATTCAGTTATAGCCTATTAAATAAAAAAAGTATTCGAATAAAAGCGTATTCGTTTAGATGGTACCAAATGAATCACATTCAGGTTACATTTTTGCAGTGTGTAAAACTACGGACAGTTTGCAGCATTAACAATCCGTTTGCATGAAATTACACTTTTATCCTTCAAAACTGATTCACACTGATTCACACAAAAAAAAAAAAAAAATGTGGCAGCAAACGTATAAATCAGGACTTGTTAATAAGAAGTTAATTGCTTAAAAATGGAAGCAAAGATTGAAACTCCGTCCAGTTATGCAAAATAATAGATCTAGATGCTATACGCCAAAAATGAAGAAACGCACACAAAACATTTAGAATAACAATTAGTTCAAACATGGAATTTTAGTGCATGCAGCATTTATTCATTTAAAACAGGTTGGGTTGAAATCTTTATTCGAAAAGCTCGAGTGGGTACTTAATACATTTCTAATTAGGACACTATCAATATGTTGAGCCAAGTAGCCATTGTGAGGCACGCTCCTTTTCAGGCGGTAAATTAGCACTCCAGCTCTTATCTCGGCTGCATGCGACGTCTTGAGAGGGGCTGCAAAAGATAATTTATAGGTTTTAATTAGCGCCCATTCCGCCTGATCAGCTTGGGGTTCATCACTAGCGAGTGAATAAAAGCCGGTCAAAAGCACTGTCACTACCCACTGGCAGGGCGCTTTATCAAGGTAAGCAGGGCCGTATTACACGAGGTGTAGAGGCGACGTAATTTCCCCAGTGCTGATAAAGCCCGTTGAATAATGCCTGAGTCATCTGAGACACCATTTACTGAAATGACTTTATTGACGACTTAACGTCCGTAATTCATTTTACCCTTCACGTATCGGACATGGGTTTGGTACAGTAATTGGATGATGAATGTGGCAACGGGCCGCACCTCGTATTATTGAATGTAATACACACGCCCTTCTCTAAATGTCTCGAAAATCATGTAAAAATCGAAGTTGTAACTATTTTAATTTCATTATGGACAGGTTGAATTATTGTCCGGTCTTGAATAGCTCTGTTGCAATGATAGCTCACGGGATATTTAATTAGGCCTACTCTACATAAAATAGGCGCTCACAACCTGACAACACAATGGGATGGTCGTGGATAAACAATCATATTCCATATAAACACTAGGAACACGCGTGACCTCAATGATTATCAAAACGCACCTGAAAGCGCAAAAATGTCTGCGCAGCCATTTACATTAAGTCAAGTCAAGTCACCTTTATTTATATAGCGCTTTTAACAATACAGATTGTGTCAAAGCAACTGAACAGCATTAATTAGGAAAATAGTGTGTCAATAATGCAAAATGACAAAATGACATTACTGCTCAGGCTTACAAATCGTCAGTGAATTTGAACCCATTTTCATCGCAGGTGCGTTTTATGGATTGCTTTAGTTGTGCTTTTCAGAATTGTTTTAGCCAATTAGCAAACAGCATAATTGCTTTCATTAAAGTATGAAAAATCCACTGCTGCCTACAATAAATACGCCTTGTCGTGCAAAATAAATCAATGTGAAACGCTGCCAGGCGCATTTACAATTTAATTTAACACAGCTAAGGTGGATGTTTTAATGAGACATGGAGACATACGAAATAGACAAATGTGAGGTTTTATTTTCTTTTCTTTTCTTTTCTTTTTTAGCCAGCATACGGTGGTCATTTAACCAGCAGGTAGGCTAATAAGCAACTTTTACACCTGTCGTCAAATCTTAGAAGGGCTATGATAAACCTGTGCCAGCACTTTCTTAAAGAAAGTTGTAAGGTGTTTGGTCTTGTCGTATACGTTCAACATTAATCTTTGCATCCATTGGGATGTGTCGTAGGCTATTGTATCGTACGTTCGGTTATTTTATTGTTTAACTTCAGTATGAGTTATGTAAAACAGGTAGTTTTTACTTTCATTTCGCATAAAAATAAATGGCAAAGTTTCAAGATGTGCACTTTAGCCACTGGTTCACAATAACGGTGTAAAACGAAATAAATTGAAGCGAGCATAACATTTATTTATTTATTTATTATTTAGCTCACATCAACAAATCTGTCTCTATTATTAATGTTATACGGGGTTTACAGGACACTTTGAAAAAGGTGAAAAAAACTTATTTGAATTAGTCTAGACTTATTTAAGATGAACTTAATCACAAGCGATCTGCGTTAAAGTAGGCTAACATATTTTTTTGTCTTTATAAATTCCACAGTTATTCAGTGATGTCCTTAAAAAATTATAGTCTACTTTTGCGTTTATTTATTTATTTAGGCTATTTATGTTTTTTGCCATCTCATATGCTAATAAATTCATTTTAATCTGTACTGTGTATAGCCTATATAAAACAGAAGTAACCTAATGAACGAAGGCCTGCTGCATGTGATTCAAAAGGTGTCTTTCTTATCAAGCGGTTTTATATTCTACAGTTAGTGAACGCCTCCCAATGGATGTTCTGCTTAAGACAGGGAGAGATCTGAAGAAGCCAAATTTAAAAAGTCACGTGGTTAAAGAATTATAAATAGATAAAGTAATAAAACATAAGAACAGCAACAAGTTCTTTGGTAGGCTTCTGATTTTTAGCAATTTATCTGTTTTTAATTAGGCTAAATGTAGGCTATTCCTATAATAATAGTCAGCTAAGAGTTGGCATTTTTGAGTAGCCACAAAAGGGTTACGCCTTTTATAAACTGTCCCTGCGACAAATCTATCGGGCTAAGGCAGTCCGGGACACATAAAACAAACCAAAGTTCCCAATTCCCGAACATTTATGTCCGAAAAGCCCTAATATATCGTCCTTCAACAAGATAAAGGCATTTGGCGAACCTTGGCTGCCATCATGTGGTCAAGGGAATAAGGTCCACATGAATAGCCTAGTCTCCCCCACAAAACACTGCTTGTTTTCCATGTCTCCTTAAACACGCCTAATTCAGATCGTCAGCTCATTAGTAGAGATTCCACGACCTGAAATGGGTGTGTCAGACAAAGGAGAGATGCGAAATGTAGCCTAAGTAACCTACGTAATAATAAGTAGCCTATATCGTGTGTGTGTGTGTGTGTGTGTGTGTGTGTGTGTGCGCGCGCGTTTTTGTGACAAATGAGGACATAAATTTGTATAATGACAAAGGTATGACATAGGTATTACAAGGAGAAGGTGACTTTTCAGGACATTACCCCATGTCCCCACTTTTCAAAACGCGTATAAATCACACAGAATGGAGTGTATTGAAAATCTGAAATAGCACAAAGTTTCCTGTAAGGGGTAGGTTTAGGGGTAGAGTTGGTGTAGGGCAATAGAATATACGGTCTGTACAGTATAAAAACCATTACGCCTACGGGATGTCCCCACTTTTCACAAAAACAAACCTGTGTGTGTGTGTGCGCGCGCCTAACTTGACATAGGCCTAATACATTTATGTAGGCTAAAACATCATATATTTTACGCAGGCGTATTTAAAATTTATATTTAAGTTTCCTTAAGACGTATAGCCTAGTCTGATCTCTTTTAAAAAAAAAAAAAAAGAAAAGAAAGAAAAA